CGAAACAATTAAGGTGGCACCAGAAAATATCAAGGCGCCCGAAGTGGCGCCAGTTACCGACATCTAAAACTATGTGCTATGCGAGTGGTTAAAGTATATCAAGCAAAGTAGATCTAAGTGATTGCCAAAGAAAAACAGATTTCTCCGATCTGAAGGGAGTTTAAGGAAAATCAACAATCTAGGCACTTACAAGGGGGATAATGAATGCATGGAGACGATTCTTTTATATCGGGACCGTCGCTGAATCGAATCGTGCAGTTTTTTCATTAGCCATGTTGTTTCACCAGATAAAGGTCGGTGACGTTGAAGGACAACGTCGTCGAAATGGTCTTTAAGAAGCTATCAAATGAGGAATTAAGGGCATCATTCCACGATCCAGTCAAACAATCGGTGCGCGAAATCGTACCCAAAAACGCCTGGTCACCAACATGTTTGAGTGACAGTAAGTCGTTTCGATCCCCAGGTTTCAGTGGTTTCGTACAAATTTTTTTGAGCCTGGCACTATCATGTTGGCTGTCAAAAAACTTGTTTCCCACTACCTGCTTTAGGCACAATGTTTATCAAGATCCTCGTTTCCAGGGAACGTGCAAGATCCCCTTTTGCGTTGACTCGTCAACCTTAGAAAGTCATTCATCTTCGTTGCGAAGCCACTCTAGATCTGTTTGATCGACTTCAAGAGATTTATGGACAAACAAATTTCACATGTTATTTTCAAACAATTTATTTGGGTGAAATAGCTTTCTTCACAGTTTCTCAGTTACACTGTATCAATTCAAAATATCAGAAATGCAAAAATAAATATTATATATAACAAGGAAACAAATATTCCTAGCGTGGCACGAAGAGTGACGATTGGCGACTTTGACGGGAACGGCAGTCTGACTGAAACGGAGGTATATGAGAAGAGCGCTTGCAGATATCGGGCGGTAGGAGAGGCATTCGAAGGACTCATTGGGTCAAACTGGGATAGCCGCAATAGAAACGGACATGTTTACCCCAGGGTACATCATGGGTTGAGGATTTTAGTCGAGTTCGTGCGACCCTCCCCCCACTTCTAGTCCCCTCCTCTGATACGATCGAGCGTCGAGGGGGAGGGAGGAAACGGGAGGGGGGGGTGTATATTACAGTGTGAAATGGGAAAAATCACGGAAGAAAAGAAGACTCTCCGTCCTTCCATCTCCATTCTACCTACACTTTTTTGAAATTTTCTCAACTTCCCACCACGTTTTCCGAAGTTTCTCGAGAAATTTCCTGCGTTTTCCCAAAATTTTGCTGTCGGGGGCGGGGTATATATAGTCAATGTGATACAAGAAAAACTGCGACAGAAGTCAACAACCGGGAAACAATTTCCCCTCCCCCCACCTGTTGGGGAATCACCAACGATGATGTGCCCCGGTTTATCCGAGCCTGAAGAGAGAAGGAGGTTCAGGGTGGATTGACCGTAATCCATTCGAATGAAGTTGATAAGAAATTTCCGCAACACTCGCGTTCGCAATGCCCCCCGCCCTGAAAGCTATACCGCGGCCGACCAGGCGTGAAATAGAAACTAACTCTGTCTATTTAGGCATTGCCGACTCCGTGCACGACGGGACGTAGCACAAAGTTCGGTTGTTGCTCCATGACAAGCAGAAGAATATGTAAGATCAACGAGAACATATTGCATAACATCGTAAGGCTGTAGAAAAGCACTGCAAAAGTGAATTTCGGCTATTATGCTTTCCAGCTCTTTCTCTGCCATATCTGAAGCCCTAGCATGCTTGATGTCCTCCGAATAGCGTGCGTCTTCAATGAGAATCAAAGCTCCTGATCTCGTCACAGGTACGATCCCCTAGCCCGTGTAATAGAAGTGAAGCTCTAGCCGAAACATCTCAATTAGGGCGGGGTTTATCACCTGGCTGGATGGTTTTTTGTCGGCACGGCGCCATCCGCGTCAGATCGACCGCTGCGGCTTCAGGCGTTCAGTGAGTGGTGAATGTTGGCACGGGCTGCCGCCGCGCCAAAATTCACGCCACGCTGAAACGCCCCACCTGGCTCCAGTCAATAATGACTGTAGACATGCCCGCAGCAGCAAAGCTGTAGCATTTACGCGATCGAAACTGGCGGACAAAGTGCGTTTCAAGGAAGGCTTCAGTAGGATGTGCGAATACAAGGTCCAGGTATTACAGGTATGATGAATGCCCAAAACGACGACCGTGGGGGAAAAGGAGACCTTGAATAAAAGCTTTCAGGTAACGTTTAGATAGACCTCATGAGGATACCAGATTCCATGTCGCTGGCTCTTGGTTTCAATCTGCATTCTACTCTACACTTTCAGACAATGAAGAGAAGGGTTCTTGTTCTGAAGACACACAATCTCATCCCATTTCTATGGCACATCGCCTAAGCGGTAGTGTTTGGCTTCTTTGAATACTCGTCCAAGCTTGAAGCGTTATGCAACGTGTCTTCCACGGCTCCCTCGCTTTTAGCTGCATTGGTAAGTCACTTAGCATCTAAGACCGAGAGACTCGAAAGTCTTCCTCGTTCTTCTAACAAATAGCTTCTTCTAGACGATTTGGGAGCACGATTAGCCTGAAGTCTTCCGCCACTGACGGTCGTGAGCTCATCTCGCATTCTCATGAGGGCTCCGAAGACGATATCGTCGATACATTACGTTAGCCTCTGATATCAGAACACACCATCGCTGGGGATTTCCCAACAGGGGGAGGGGATAGTATTTAGTTGCTGGGGAAGAGGGGGGGTCATATTGACGCTATAAGAGGAGGATCGTATTTGCCTCCGGAGAAAAATATGCGGTGTGTGGAGAAATTTTTTCCGCTTGTTGACTTACCAAGGTTTTTCCTGTTTGTATACTTGTGCATGTGCTATATACATCCCGCCCGCTGGACAGCAAAATTTTGGAGAAAGTAGTAGGAGATTTTCCGGGGACTTTCGGCTGGGAATACGTAGGAAAGTGGTAGGTAGGATGAGTGAGGGGGTTATTCTCCTCGTAGTTCCCCCTCCTCCCCCCCCAATCGCGCCGCTCGCGCAGGCTCTATCCCATCAGATGAGGGAACTAGGGGTAGGAGGTGGGTCAAATAACCTTTTAGGGGGGGGGCGGTCGTACGGACTCACCAAAATCCTCAACTCATAATGTGCTCTTCCTGAGATCCACTGCCAACCTCGTGCCATGTTGGAGCTGATCAAATCTACTACTAATTCCTGGCGTTGGAGGGGGGGAGTACTAGTTGCGGGCGCGAAGACAGCACGCATGTATCTGTGGTCGATTGCATGGTCAGAGCTGAGAGGATGTTCTCATATGTCGTGTTCATCTTTGCTATGTACAACTTGTCTCTTCTTAAAGGCAGTTGACACGATAAATTCCTTAGAAGAGTAGGACTGATACCTGGCAGGATAAGATTCCGCGAGGTGTTGCGTAGCGCCTTTTCTGAGGGAGGAAAAGGGCCAATCGAGCTACAACATTACGACCCGAGCGCCCACAAATGGACGACCGTACCTGACGCTCGTATTGCTTTATTTGCTAAGTAAAATATGAAGCGAAGGGATTGGTATGAAGCGGCTGCGGTGCTGCATGGATATATGGGTACACATATGCAGCCGTATCTTCGGTAGCGGTGATTGGCAAGATGCCTACGGGAAACTCGTCCGAAATTGTCATTAAGGACGAAGGTTTTTCTTCGCAGGTTTTTGACCGTTTCACTTCGTTTTTTCGCCATTTTTCCCACTATATGGCGCCCTGCTAGCATTTCAGAACAATTGAAAAAATATCGTTCCAACTGTCTTTAAATCACCAGCTGTTTACCATCCCCGCAGTGTCAACTGAGCAAGGAAATTTAATGCTTTCAGCGAAAATTGAGAGCGTTTATGAATCTTGGTCAC